CGCCTATCTGGAAACCGTTCATGATAAATTCTAGCTGATAGTAATGAATTTTTATTGCATTCCCCCAATATCCAGATCATATTTATCTATCATTTCCTCAGTAGTAAAATTCATTATTGCTAATTTAAATTGAATAAATTATTGAATTGCTAAATAATAATTGTTCCCCAATACTGAATTAATAAACAATAATGGTAAACGTTAAAATATCTTTAAAATTTATACTTTGATGGAAAAATAAAAATATCTAGAAAACTAATAACTTTATGTATATGTAGTATTCTATAAAATTTGAAGTACGATGTTAGTACTTTTCGATAGTGATATAAAATACAGGGTGTTCTATTTAAAATTACCAAGAAAATAGTGTACTTGCATTTTGACTTATTATATATTTGATTTAACGAATATTATGAAAACGAATATGTTTTATAATTTTTAACAATTATTAAAAAACTATGGTTGTAATAGATCAATGGACCTATACTCCTTTTTAATTATACAGGGAGTTAAACTTGATACGATTTTCAGGTAATATTGGTTATAACTTTTTAAATACCCGGTATAACATAATAAAACTTTACATTGTTGTGATGTGGAAGTGAAGCAGATTTTAAATTCAAAATAAAATACAGGGTGTTTCATTTAAAAAACATAAGTTTGGTCTGCCACCATCTTATAGAACACCCTGTAAGATTGTAACTAATTTTAAAATGTCGGGTTTAAAGCTGTCTACAAGTTTTGTCAATAACTTTTTTTTGTAATTTTTACTAAAACAGATCTACTGAGCTTCCTCACCCTAATCAATCACCCAGAAGAGTTATCAGAAAAATTTTCCAACCAAATTTTCTACCAAGTAACCAAAAACAAAATTTGATTAATTATTTAATGTTCTGTATTCTGAGAAAGATTTCCGAAGTAGAAATCGAAATGTCAAAAATAAACTTATTATAAACTTAAATTGTGGCTTATTCCCCAAAATATAGGAAATGACAAGTACTTCTGTTTTACATTCAAACTTAAATACTACTAAAAAAATTAAAAAAAATTGTTTTTTAAACAAATTATGTGGTTTATTTGACAATTTATTTATTGAAATAATGCATATTCGTAATGTACGCAAAAAGTACATACAAGTTAAAAAAAAAAACGTTGAAATACATAAAAAAGTAACAGAGATACAGTTAACAGCGCCTTCCCCCACCCTTCAGCTCCCGAGAGTTTCAAAGCCGACGGATTTTACATACATTTTGAAACTTTGTGGAGGATTCCATTACAGGGCAATAATTTTAAAATTTAGTGTTTTAAAACTATAATGTATATTCTTTCAAATATCGCTAATTAGATTTCTTAATTGTTATAAACAAAGGTGCTATGAATTAAACAAAAAAAGAGGCTAACTTTGTACCAAATTATTTTAGGACAAACTTTTTTTTATTTAAATTTGTGAAAAAATTCAAGCTTTTTAAATATGTAAAAATAATATTTTTACAGTCAATGGTTAAAAAGTTATTCTAATTGTTTATAAGTAAAAAATCGACATGTTTTTGCAAAATTATTTTGCAATATTTAAAATTAATTTTCTTAATTTTTTTTTAATGTAAATAATAAAACAAGTCTTCTTCTACCAGAAACAACCCTTACAATTTCTAAAACTGTATAAATTTCTGACTTATATTGTTGCAAAAAATGTTAATTTGGGATAAACAAATAAAATAACTTTTAAACTATTGGCCCAATCACTTTGAAATTTTAACCCTATTTTAAGCACTACAAGACACATCATTCCATGAAATATAAAGATTATACGTTTATTTTCAAAAAAGTTATTAACATTTATAAAAAACCGAAATTTTTGACTTATTTTGCAACTTTCTAAGCAACAAATAAGGATAGAAAACATTTTGAAAACGCCATTTTGAAGGTTTCTATATAACTTATAAGTTTCCTCTCTTCTAAAATTTGTTTTAAATTGCTTCACTTTTTGCTGATAGATGAAAAAAGCAAAAATTTTCCGTTTTTTGACCTTAATTTGTTAATAACTAATTAAGTCCAAAAAATCGACTGCAGGAAACATATAGGTTTTTATTACAGAGGTCCATACTACTCAAAACAACTGTCGTCTGCCTGGCCGGACGAGTGTCATGAAAAAATGCTTATTTCCCTGGGCTAATAACAAAACAAGATAAGTCCACGCAAGTTCTTCTGACGTAACTCCGAGACAACTTGTCAAAATTCCAAATTGACAAAATTAATGACAGCAAGTTAAACTTTAAAATTAAATTTAAATTTTTCATTTGATGCAATTCTAGTTATATAAATAAAAAGAATTAATATTAATAACAGCAGAGAATTAATATACCAATATTAATAACAGCAGAGCAAATGTTTCTATGGATAATAATAAATGTTTGTATAGATAATAATATATACTAATGCCCATTTTAATAGAACTTGAAATAATACTTTATTTTTGATAGGTCTTTAAAAAAAGTTACTTTGGATGTATGTAGTGAACTGGAACATATTTTTCGTAGTTATAAGTTATAACATTAAAAAACTTAATAGAAGCTCCAAAATATGTAAATGTTAGCGAAGATGTAAAATTACTTTTTTTTTAGATGTAAAATGTATTTTAAAATACGAATTCTAAATCAAAATATTAAAGATAATTACAATACCACAAAAGAAAAATCACAAAGATTGTAAAATAAATGTCTAAATGATATTCATAAAGTCTCAAGTTTGACCCGCTTTTCCTTTATGGTCAAATTCTTTACATTTTGCCGGCCTTTTATATTTAATTTATGTTTTGTAGTAATATTTATTTTGTTTGTAATACACACAGTCAAATCGTAGATTCATATATTTCTTAAATTAATTTTACAAATTACTTATTAATTTTCAAAACACGTTTTCACAGAAAGTAACTAGTTATGACTTCTTAGTGCAAGATATGGCATCGAGGTATTACCGTTAACAGTTTAAGTTTTGAAGTTGTTCATTACAGTAATGGAACAACGTTGCCATATGAGGCATCGTTAAAATATGATACATACAAGTCTCCTGGCTTTGTCTCACTATGACGACATGCGCAAAGTCAATTAAAATTAGAACAGCAAGTGAGCATATCTTGTTGTTATAGTATCATGTAAACAACCCACTGCCACAGAATAATAAACAATCAGAATGCCCACTCTCAGATGCCGCCTTTGAAGTTTTTCAACACGCGCGCCTTGTTTTAGAAGGATACAGACATATATGATTTGTGAGGTTATGCAATTGTTTATATTTATGTTTCATTCTATTATATTTATGTTATGATATTTAACAATGGTCAGATAGCTCAGCGGGCTGTGCGGCTGCCTCTCATACGCTTCACTGTCGAATGGTTCAGTGGATGTGGGATCGAGCCCCAGCTCGGTGTACAGAAAACAAAAAGTCTAACGCAGCAGTTTAAAATTCTAGATGAATCTCTGCGGCTTAGACTAGGATATGCTGGGATCTGATCGGCCTATGGTGGAGCAGTACGGCAAGAGATAAGGGCTTGCGGCTCGGTGCAAACAAACAAGGTTTGTTTGGAAAGTGAAACTGGCAGATGTCAATCAAATCTACGTCATCACTCCTGTGGTCCATTCAAACAAAGAATATAGACGCTTACGTCTATATTCTTTGATTCAAATTTTGAAGTTAGTTACTTTGAAGTTAGTTACTTTTTGACAGACTCGAAGTGGCTGGAAATTACTATACAACCAAGCATACGTGCTCTTAGTCAATACTATTGTAAACAAAAGTAAATAAAATAGAACTTTGCGAATTACCGACAATCAATATTTATTTATTTACACCATATAATGTATTGATAACAAACATTAAAATTATTTATTGTACAAAATAAAAATAGTGGAAATAAATTCTACAATATTAAGAAGTCAAAGTGAGGTTAAATGGGACACAGCAAGTTCCTTATGTTGTGACTAGGATGAAATCAATGATTAAACGATTAAACAGTTCATTTAACATAAACTGTGGTTTTATTTATCTTACAAAATAAGTGTACTTCCGTATGCTAAGAGGATTTAGAAGAGGATTAATAATAAAGAATTTAAAAACTTTAAGTTGGTTGCCTACATTTGGCGCAACTTAACGACATAAACTAAATTAGCCCAACTTTTTTATAAAATATATTTTTTTATATATAATAAAAACTTACTTTCTTAATTACATCCGATAAATTTCTAAGCGAATTTGATTTTTGATACTATGATTTAAGTCAGTCGTTAATTTTTATCTTGCGATTGTGCTTCTATGTTAAGGTTGTATTATGCCCATCTTTATATTTCCGCGCAATTTTTTTCTGAGACTTTCAGACATTTGGATGTTAACTGAAATATTTTTGTTATCAAGAACATTTTTAACATTTATATAATTCGATAAATACATTTTACTGAGCAACTTACCTCAACAGGGTTTTCATTCGGCAAATAATTTAAAAAAAATGGTAGGCATTTTTAATAAACTTTAGTGTAGTTTCATTACCTTGTAATTTAGGAACAGCATCGTTACTCATCTAAAAATAATAACTTATAAAGAGTAATGTTATCATATTTATTAAGAAAAACTTACCAACGCATTAGCTGATGGAACAAATGGAAACCTTTGACTATGTATAATAATAAAATTTAAAATATAACTAACTAATTAACTAAATAGAACTAACAAAAGAATTAAACAACGATAATAAAACAATATTAAATTGAATAAACAAAGCGAATAACTCCAATATTTTACGTGAATAATAACAATTCAAATATTATATTTTAAATATACAGGGAAAATTTGATAGGTTTAGTATACACTTCCACTATTAAAAATAATTCTTCTTTTTTCAAAGAAAGAAGTATATAGAGTATACTTGTGAGCTGGTTCCTGGTCATCGAGCAATAAGACAATGCTCGATGTTCCTGGTTCAACCTTCAACATTTGCCAACTTTCAAAACGGGAAGTGAATAATTCTTCTATAAGCGTCTATATTCTTTGATGGGCAAATACAAATAATATTGTTTTGATATTTTTTCAATATTTTTATTCAGTTTATATTTGTGAGCTATGGAATTTAAAATTGAAATTAAGGACGAGTTTATTGAAACTGATCACAGCTTAGATAATGAAAAAGTGATTCTACTCTCATCGTCTAAGGACCAAACAGGTCACTTTTTCACATCGACAGATCTTGGAGTCTTGAAAAATGAACCAGCAGAAAATAAATCAGGTAGGTAAGACAAATAGAATTCTACTCAGTGTAAACTAATTTAGGGATATTTCTTAGCTATGGGAGTAAAAATTGAAATTGATGAGTTTGTTGAAAAGGGCCAAAGATATACAGAAAATCAGTTATTCACACCACCATATCTTGGTAATTTGAAGAATTTACCAGATGAAGATAATTCAGGTAAGAGAATTAAGAAAAATAAGGCGCTTAACACCATATGAAATATAAGCAGTGAAGTATTACTGCAATTGAATCAGCTGCAAATTATATAAAATAATGATCTTTTCATTTTGAGCAGTTTAATTATTATAGCTTCCATTTATATATTCTGCCCCAAAACATTGATGCACTATTTTTGTCTTAGACAAACATCTGTAGCTACATTTAAAGGCAATGATACTGTGTGCCAACCAGGTATGCATGGTCAATATTAAAACATGATATGCACCAGTCTGGTGCACATGGGGCTAAATGTGTTAATATATTACTCCCTACAGTTTTACAAATATGATCACATATTTTATGATTTCTACTTAGGTCTTTTGACACTTTTCATAATTGTCCATGTGTTTTTGTCAGTTCAATATCCTGTGGCAGATTTGTTATAGATAATCATATCCTCTATTTGCCAGCTTAGGAATATTGTGACATATATTCATTATCAGAAATATACAACACAAAAATTCCTTTCTCTTACTATTAATAATATTAAATAGCTCAACTTATTTAATTTAAATGGAGCACCACATATATTTTTGCAGATTAAAAAAAAAGTTGTTATTCATAAGTCAGATAAACCAAGTTTGGTAGAAGAAATTTGTTAAAACAAAAAACAAGTTAAACAATAATAGGAACATTTATTTCCCAAGAACAATTGAGAATATTAATTTAAAAAATCGCTTCAAATATTTAAAATGCTTACAAAAGTTCACATCCTCACAATGTGTAAGTGTATTAATTTATTTGGGAGTTTAATAAATAAGAGTAAAAACATAAAACTTGTGCTGTTTTTGTTTGTAACAATCTAGTAAGTAATTCCTGGGTAATTCAAATAGGGTGGTTTCATTTTAACTATTTTGTTTTAGTTAACTGTTTTAAACATTTGTTTAGGTTTAAAATAGTTTTTAATTAAAACATGTTAAAATACTTAAATTAAACAAGCTTTTTTTGTTTTCTTTATTAATATAATAAATAGAAATGAGAAATAATTCTCAAATACATTATACAAACTTTTTGACATACATAATGTTTATTTATTTATTAATTATAGGAACACAACCAAAATTAAAAAAATTAAACATTTGGCATACCACAGTTCAAAAATTTTTCAAACTGTTTCAGTCTCATAGGTAGTAATCTTGTAATCTAAGTCATCAATCTGATATCTGCTCAGTCATGTCATCAGTTATAGAATTAAGTTCCTTATAAATTGAAACCAACTTAGCAGCTTTGACATTGCTTAGCTGATTTCATAGTTTGGAATGGACTAACCCCTTGGATAAGAAGACTCTCTATGCTGGCAGGCGATCTAATAGCTGTGTGAACCTGTTGAGCAAGTTCCAATGCTGTCATATTTATATTTTTCATAGAACACCACCATCTATGTATCTGTAGAGTAGGGAGGGCGAGTTAAGTTTCACAGTACTTAGGCTACAATTGACCCATTGTGCATCCTCCCAGGGAGCTGTCACCCTTAGCTCATTGTCCATCCTGCCATTTCTAGGAAGGTGGACAAGTCACCAGGAGACTTCACTTCGTCAGAAAAATTTAGACTGTAGTTTAGAATCCTTGGGGGTATTAAGCCCGTCTGTTATCCCGTATCTTTTATCAACGTCTGTTTGCCTTGCAATTTTTAGAAGGCTCAGATTATAAGCAGAAATCTGAATTGTGTTTCGAAACTATTTTACGGATTTTGTTATTAGATGTCGCTATCGCATCCGTATTGAAGCCATTTTATTGTTGCTTCTTAAAAGGCAGAAAATATTGATTTTTCACGTTGAGAACTCCTATGAATAGCTGTTCTGATGAGACCTATTAGGTCGAAGTACGTGTTAACAGATACATAGGAATTGTTTGCGTGAAATCAAATATTTGCTGTCTTTTTCATTTTAAATAAATACTTGTTGAATGCTCCAACCTCTCCAACCTTTGAAGTGTATGTATGTTGATTTGCTGATAATATTACTTTGTCACTTATTGCTTGTAACAAGCTGATTAAATAATGTTACCTACAGTTAAATACAAACCATGTTTATGGTTATGTAATCATAATACTGTCTATTATTTAGTAATATCATTAATAATTTTTGGAACCTGTTTGTCATCCATTTAGGATACACTTTTTGTTCTGTTACTTGCACTAAAGTTTTTTAACATTTCTTGATAACTTAAACTGAATGTTTTGTACTTTTTAATCTGTATGGTTCATAAATTAAGTTATTATATTCATTTCCATATAGTTATGTTGCATATCTTTTGTAAGGTAAACCATGTGCAAATTTTTTGTATGTATGGATGTTTGTCAATGGTTTTGGCCTAGAAATTTAGAAAATGTGATGTTTGGCTAGCTTTCGAATTTATAAGTATATATCTATTCTTATATAGAATGTTCATTGGAATACTTTATCTGCCTACTTAGGAAGTTACTAAAAAAATGGCCAATATTATTTGACATTTCCTTAAAAAACAGTGATAAAGATATAATAAAGCTTGTAAATGATACAAATTGAAAGACAAATGACCAAGATTATTTAAAAAAATTAAAGTATATTGCAATTGCTTTTGACACAGTCCAAACAAATACTTGCACAGAGCCGGAACCTGGGAGTTAGAAAAGCGATTAGCGCTCGAAATCTGGACGAAGACCTAACTCAAGACAGAATACAGTGGCGTTTGGGAGTCGGACAACGTCGTAAGATGTTATAAAACCGAATATATATATATATATATATATATAATATATATATATATATATATAATATATATATATCTGTTACATGGGAAGCATACCATCCTAAGTCACATTCTCATAATTTTACAGGAGGAGTACTTAAACATTATATTTGATGTTTGTTCAGAAAATTATAAGCAATTAATAATTGTAGCGGAAACCATTGTCGGTATTTAAAAATAGTATTATATATAGTTTGCTGTAGTATTATGAAAGTATAATAAGGGTTTAAAGATAATAAAATAATGGACTTAGGATATATTACTTCTAAATTATAAAACTCCTTATATTTATAATACACCTATACTAAGTCCTCATAAATTGGTTATCTGGATACTCGGATTCTTCGTTTGAATGAGGAAGATTCTTATAAAAATCATGGCAATACGATGGCAAGTATAAGAGTAAGTCCATAAGATCACTTATATTTTTTTGTTGATATAGGAATCAATTGCATATTCATTTGTGGTAAAGTTTCTGGCAAAATGATATCACCTCTTTTATTTCGTCTTAAGTCAACCATTTGAAAAGTGTCACTGTTGAATGCAGTTTTGTATTGAAGTATTCCAAATTTTTCTTTGGTAACTCGTAAGATCACTGATTTTGAAATTTGAAATGCCTCTCTGTCAGTATTTATTTTCCGATTAATAAATGGACCTGTTGAAGAATATAAGCATTCAAAATTTTTAAAATCATTGAGTTCCATGTTCACAGCTTCGTATTTATTTGAACACTGACGAATAAATTGTTGCCAGTCCCAGGGTGTTAATATAGTGAGATTGGGTAGTTTTTTCCGTTTCCTTTCAATATTGGCGTGTACCGAATCGGATTCCATATGCGTGTGCCCCTTTAGAAGAAATTTACAATCTATTACTTGTAGTTTAGGATATCTTTGAATGAGGTAAAGTGCACACATAACTACACATAGATTTTTCGTCTGGCCCCAACAGTTATCTGCCATAAGGTAACACATTCGACGTCAGATGAAGGAATATTTAGATCAGCCCACTTTAAAATTCCCGAAGCAATTTCATTTCCTCCTCTGTTTGCTTTGGTTTCATCCCACGTTATACAATACGCAGCACTATTATACCCATCGTATAAAGTGTAATTCAAAGTCCATAATTTTCGCTTATAAAAATTCACACAATTGGTCAAATATGGCGTTGGAAGGCACTTTTGTAGATCACCAGTCAGAACTTTGTGTTTTATATTTGTTTTTGCTTCAGCCATATCAATAGATTTAAATTTATATCTATTTTCTGCTTCTTTTAAGTGGGTATCTTTTTCATTTTCAATCAGTTGTTTCTCAGAATCATTATCAATTTTTGCTCGTATTTTAGCTGCAAACATATCGCAGTCGTCACAACGTGTCTACCTCTGGGGGTTTGAATGTTAAATTAAATTGCTTATTAAATATATCGCGATATAGCCAGGGCTTTGCTATGACTTCAGTAGCATCATTATTCTCTGTCTTTTTCTGTTTGTATAATTTATACATTTTTTCAATATTTAAATCAGGCCCCAAGTAATTCTTTTTGGACCTTTCCCGATTGTAGTGACACTCGTATTTCGGAAAAGATGAAATATGTGATACTACAGAATCAATAATTGTTTGTGTTGTCTTATTACTTGGCTCATGAGTGCCCCTAAGATCTCGTTGAACCATGCCGCCATCCTGTCGTTTTGATAAAGCAGTCTTCACTACTTGCTGTGAAATACTTAACGTGTTTAAGAACATGGTTTTACATACTAAGGTTCTATTACCGTTAATTACAAAAGAGTAAATTAAAGTATTTGATCTTAGTTTAGATTCGTCTCCTGAGCGCAACCTATGTCGTTCTGTAGGTTTCGTTTGGACACAAGATAATATAAATTGTCTTTTGATATTATGGTCTGCTGTGTCATTCCAATATTTTTTGAAAATATCTTCCCTTTGAGCTTCAGATAATTTTGAACTACATTTCATGCGGCAAGTTATTCCGCATGGTACTTTTAGGTTTTTGCAAGGAACATTCTTACCCTTCTTACTAACATAGGCCCTGCCTCCAGCATAGTTTCTTTTTCTCTCATTCGCTTTCCAGTGAAGAACATGTCGTGTCCGTTTCTTTCCTGTCTGCTTTATTTTTGTTTTATTGACAACTTTTCTCTTGGTCATTAAAGAATTTGGATTTATAGTCTCTTCTACGGTATTAGTTAAGAAGTCTGGTACGGAATTAGATGTACTTGG